GGCTACATTGTTGCAAGGCATTGGTGTACACTAGTAAAAATTGCTGTGTTTCATAGCAAAGAGGTATCCAGGATATGTTTGGCAGTTCCCTGGGATCACTATGAATGAAAATAAATGTTGACTGCCTTAGGTCACTGGCATAGTTTGGATCAGTTTTGCTCTTAGTAGCACGTATGCAGGAGCTGCTGTTCTTTCAGACGTCGTGTGTGTAGACCTGCTGTAATTGCTTGGATGTCTGCAGTATCTTGCCAGCATATGTGAAAAGCCGTGGTATGGTTTAAAAACCCAAATCTACCACATATTCCAGAAAGGAATTTAGAGGCAAATGTTCCATTTTAATTGAAGTAGTTGGTGCAAAGTTGCAAAGCCCCTGAAGACTGTGACATTAAAGAGCTGCTCTGATTCTGTGGCATTTAAGCTCATTCTTTATAATAAGCAAGGCTTCTCCTCCTTGACCTTCCCACATCTTTCATATTTTGAGATGCATTCTAAACACAAATGTAAGGAGAGCACCAAGATTGTAGTTTCTGTTCACTTCCCCTCAAATGTGGAGGTGCAGAGGCTCTTTATCTGTTCAAGACTGAAATCTTAGATCATCCTGTAGTCATGTGTCTCCAGGCTCTCGGGATTTACGAAGTGTGACATTCCTAGAGAACCGAGAACAGGCCAGAGCAGTGCAAAGGATATTTACAGGATTCCTAATAACTTCATTAAAAATTATTTTACTTGTAGACCACAATGAACGTGGAACATGAAATTGGCCTCTTAGTGGAGGAGATTCGGCGGCTGGGAACCAAAAGTAAGTACTGTAATATCTCTGACTGTGCAGATGTAGTCATGTTATAGATACATGCATGCATATGACATACATTTCATACAGATATAGTCATGTTATTAGGGAGCCCCCGGTGGTCTAGGAGAAAAGACACTGCACTGTCACTGCAGAGACCCGGGTTCGATTCCCGGTCGGGGCCCCTCCCCGGGCAGATGGAGCTCGTTAGCCCGTAAGGCAATCCATCTACGTCCTGAGGACCTCGCTGCCACCGTCCAAGCGTGCTTGGCCCCGGCAGATGAACCTTAGGATTAAAGGGTGGGCTCAGTTCCGTGCACACTGTGTCTCACCTAAAAAATCCAATGCGCAGGCTGGAAGGTGGAAAGACCTTCCATGGTTCTTCGTTCGCGAAGACTGGCCATTATTAGTCATGCTGTATCAACCTATGAACCTGGCAAATTTAATTAAGCAGGCTCAGTTAACCTGAAAACTTGCATATGCTCTTAATGTTGGACTGTATGGTACTGCCTGTGTCCCATCCTTTAAAGTAGTTCTGTTATGAAGTTAAACATTTAAGCCTCTGCAGCAGGGAGGATGTAGGCCTGAAATCCTGCTCCCACTAA